TTTACGGACCAATTCATAAGATCAAAAAGGTGATCAGATCTCTGCTCAACAAATTGAATAACGAATTCATGGGATAATACCAATTGCTTAATTCTCTCATATTCTGTCTTGAAAATATGTTCTCGCATGCTGTTGTTGACACTAGCTAGATTGCACAAAGCTGTTAGAGCATCGCATTTCTCATTAATGGAACGCTCCGGGTTCAAGAGATTTGAGATCGGCTGTACAACCTCCATTATTATCTGACCGGGAAATGCAACCTCAGGAGATGTCGTAAGTGCTAGATAGACCAGGGCTCGCGTAGCATCTATTTTTCCTATGTCTGTGCCATTCAGCGCTAACGACAATAATGTTTCCGTGCCGCCTTCTTGAACAACTATTTTTCTCAAATCATGTTCACTGCATATCGCGTTGAAAACGCGGGCTATTAATTCCTTGCTATTCTCGCTGCCTGTTTTAGCGAGGCTCACCAAAGCGCTGGTCACACCGGCCTCCGCTAACACGCGCCGTCTTTCTTCCACGTAGTCGTCCTTGGCTTGTATGTGAGCCTCATCAAGATTAAAATAATTGACAAACGTTTCTCTCTCGATTATTAAATCTTCCTTGTCATAAGCGCTGCACAAGTTTACCAGCAATATGTCCACTTGATAGAGAATCGATTCATTTTCAGTCTTGGCAAACTCGATTATCGCCTGAACGGCTTGTTTGTCTCCGATCAAATCGTCTTTGACTCCGAGGTCGACAGTGAGATACGACAGACCTTCAATGGCCCATTTTCTCATATTTCTCTGAGGATTGGTCAAGAATCGTATGCAAATCTTCAGCCATGTACCTATCTGTTCTTTATTGAACGTAGGGACAGCCTGCAATTCTTCTTTTAACTCTTCGAATTTCGTCATCTTACAAATACCAACAAACGTTCGAATCCGAATTGAATCTTTTAGGTTTTCAGAATCATGCGAATCCTCAGAATTATCCAGGTTCTCAGAATTATCCAGATCTTCAGAATTATCCGGATCCTCAGAATCATTCGGGGCAAGATGACACAGATCTTGCAATATAGTGAAACCTCGACGTATGAACGTGTTGAATGTGTCATATTTGGTTACAACGGCATAGATAAATTCGCAAATCACTTTTCTTATCAATAAGTCATTTCCACTGTCTATCAAGAAATTATCAATTATATCAGCCAGTCTGTCATTAGTAATAAATGTGTTTGCAACATTAAACGGGCCGAATGTTAAGGTTGTCATCGCAACTATTGCACGCAACTGTAAAACAAACGATTAATGATTTATGAAGTTTTACGTTTTGTGAAACAATAATTATTTCTTTTTTTAATCAAGACAGTTTCAAAGTGCTATTAAATTGTGATTGAAATTAGAAAAAATCTCTAATTAAAAGTAAATTAAGCTGCAGAAAATTCGATAAGTGAAAAAGTCATTCTTCAATAAATTTTGATTAAATTCTGTAATAATCATATTTGAATTTAAAAGTTATAGAATATACATTATAATGACAATTTCTCAAATATACTATAGTTAAAAAGAAACTCAGTCTATTATTTTAAGACAATTTAAGTCAACAGAGAAAATAAAAAAATTAAAAAATTCATACTTTAGGTTCTTCGTCAAGCGAATATAATCTATCTCTGACAAATCCAGTAATGTTTGCGGAAAGTCGTTGCCTATAATCAGGTGGCAAGTTTTCATTGATTTTTGCTAAACACTTTCTGGTTATAGTTCGCGTGAAAGACGTGATGTCGAACGAAGATTGGTATTGGTATTCTACTAATTGACTGGTTAACTCTATTAATGTGTTCAAACCGCCAAACTCTATCATTCGTTTGGCCCAGCCTAACGCAGTATAATGAATGTTACGCGCAATAAATTCTATTGATGCGTCTCTAGCAATGCCTGATGTCGGCGTTTTATTGTCTATTTTATCCAACAAGCATGACAGAATAGTGTCAATTACTTGCTTATGCTCCTTGCACAAAGTCTCGTCGGGCATTGAATCGGGTTCTTCGTTCCTGCCGCAACAAGTGTTCAATATACTCTGTAACCAAATTACACAATAAATTTTAATTACTCAAATACGAATATTCTACCTACATTTTAGTCGATAATATCTACCTGTAAACAATATTGAGATGCGTTGACTATCTCTGAAGATGTGCTGTTCATCATTTCCAGACACCAAGGCAAAACGTCTATCCTAATGGACTCGACTTTCTCAACATCTAACGGGCCGAACATTATCGCAAGTACCATGCGCACCTGTAAAACAATTAATTAACAATTTGTAAATTATTACCTGAAACAATATTTGATTAAAAAGAAATCAAGGCAGCTACAGAGTTATTTAATATTGATGAGAAATAGTAGAAATCTTTGATAAATTATGCTTCAGAAAATACAATAGATTGCAAAGTCATATTTTTGTATTTTAATTTATGTTATATACAGATTATACAATATCGACAATTGAAAAAGAAATCTTCTTTGACATTTCTACTTTTAAAATAGAGTTTAACTTTTACAAGTATGGTTAAACAGATATTTGACGCTTTTTATTATGAAACAATTTAAATAATTGGGAAAAGACCGGAAATTACAAAATTCATACTTTGGATTCTGTGTCAAAATGAGGCAATTCATCTTCAATAAATTTTTCAATGGCTTTGATAAATGTTGCCTTATCACCATCATTGCACATCTTTTTATATATTTTTGTTAAGCACATACTGATTAGAGTTTGCGTGGAAGATGTGATGTCGATCGAAGATTCGTTTTTAAATTCCACCATTTCACTGGCAATTTTCATTAATGTTTGCAAACCGCCAAATTCAACCAATCGTTGTGCCCAGTCTAATGCAGCATGATGAATGTTACACGTAATAAGTTTCATTAATGTGTCTCTAGCAATGCCTGTTGTTGTTTCATTCCCTATTTTATCCAACAAGCTTGACAGAAACTTATCAATATCTTTCTCGCGCTTTACCAGCGCTGCGTACAAAGTTTCGTCGAGTTTTGAAACGGGTTTATCATTCATGCCGGTGTAAATGTTTAATATATTCTGAAACAGAATTACGCAATAAATCAATTACTGAAAATACACGTATGCTAATTACATTCTAGCCGATAATATTTACCTGTAAACAGTATTGAGACGCGTTGACTCTCTCCGTAGATGCGCTGTTCATCATTTCCAGACACCAAGGCAAAACAACGTTTATCATAGTGGACTTAGTTCGATTAACATTGTTATTGCATAATTCGGCTACAATACGAATCGCGCTACAGATCGCTTCATCATCTTCTCTTACTTCCTTTATGAAGATCTCGTAGGCATCAGTTCTCCAACGTGCAAGCCTAAGCAGAGTAATCAAGGCGTTTTCACGTTTCTCCTGATTTGCGCTCACGTTAAATGCTAGACCCATCATTTGTGATACCTAATACAAAGAAAAAGTTTGCGTATATTTAAATATAGTGGTCTGTAATAAAAATATAAACTAACTACGAAAGATTTATATTTGTATGACGTAATATTTACTCATATAGTGTGTAGATTATTAATTGATAAGAAGAAATAATATATTAGTTGCTTTCAATTTACACTCAAGTGATCTGAGTCATTCAGTTATGTGAGTATTTTATACTCAGGTAAGATAAGTCATTTTGTACTTACCTGCTTATTTTGGTGACAAAGCTATCACATAACAATATAGATAGTCTCACTTTTAACGTGAATCTATTAGATTCATTAAAACAAACAGTCTCTGTGGATAAAAACTCAATTAAATCTCACTTGCTAGCATGCAAAAAAAAAACGTGCATTTAACTGAGTTATTACGTCACAAGTGAGAATTATCTGAGTTTTGATGTAAATGGAAAGCAACTATTATATATAATAAGAGAGACACAAGAACTCAAATTCGTTTGTCAAATTATATGTGATATTGAGTAAAAAAAATAAGAATTATTAAAATATAATATATTGAGCATGAAAAATGTGTTATTATTTTTATATTATCTAGACAAAATTAGCGTGTCTTGCAAGTTAATAAATTTTTTTAGTTATGTATATTTAGTTTGACATTAATACTTGCTTTTTCCTTAATATATTTGTCTGAAATATCACAAAATTGCTTTGCTGTGTCCTGATGTGGTGAATCATTTGAACAAGATGTATCATTTAAGTAAGATGAAATAATTTTCTCGTCCGCATCCTTCTCGAATGCCTCCTCGTACCTCTCTAACTCTATTAATGCCAAAA